GAAACATATCACCCAACATACCTCCTTCCCAGGAGTTGTTGTGAGAATAAAGTGGCATGATTCATTTATTCATGAATTATGAATATTTTAGTTACAAGACTTTTGTAGTCTCTCAAAATCCTCAAAGTTTATAATCCTGTGATTCTCCCAACAAGCAATTATTGAACACCTACTGTGTGCTAGGGTCTGGAAATAATGGACATATGGAAAGTTTTTGAAAAAATGAAAAGCACGAGACAAATGAGACATTTAAAAATTGTTTACCTCTTATTGATGGAACATCTTACTTTTTACTTTTTCTGCCACAACATAATAGAAGCAGCAATCAAAAGGAAGAAAAAAAGATTAAACAGTGACAGCTTGTAATGCCAGTACTATTCTACATTCTAACATATACTGCAGATAATAGTGAAAATATCTATATCTTGTTGCAGTTGATATCACATCACTTTGTTTCCAGGGGTGTCCAACCTGTGGCCATGGGCCGCATGCAGCCCAGGATGGCTATGAATGCAGCCCAACACAAAATTGTAAATCTATGTAAAACATTATGAGATTTTTTTTTGTGATTACGTGTTGCAACATATTTAATGAGTGGCCCAAAACAGCTCTTCTTTTTCCAGTGTGGCCCAGAGACACCAAACGTTTGGACACACCTGGTATACTATCCTTTGGGGTGTTTATAGCACAATGGTTGAGTTTCACTATCCTGAACTTTATTCTTTCTTTAGTTAATAAAATTTTAAAAGAGCATCCCATGTTCTATAGAATGATGACTGTACTTATTTTACAAAGAAGTTATAATGTGTGGTGGCTGTCTGCCTTTGGATATGACATCCTCTGGATTATGGAATCAGGCTTTGATTATGTGTCCATTCTTTTGATTTAAATTATTTATCTATGCATTATTTTACAGCTAGTAAGATAAAAAGTGGATGGGACAGAAGAAAGAGCCCTAGGATTGAGAAGAACTAGATTCTTGTCTAGGCTCTGCTTTTAAACTTCTGTGTGACCTTGGGCAAACCCCTGTTCCTATCTAAGCTTCAGTTTTCTGAACTGTAGAATGGAAACTTTGGACTAGGTGATGGCCCTGATGCCATTAGAAATTGAAGAAGGAAGATTTCTGTTCCCAAAAATCTCTCAAGAACTCTTTACCTGTTTTAATTTAATTCAAATTTAGCAGAGATAGAGCAGTGTAAGTCCTTGCTTGCATTTATACAAATTCTAATTTTATGTGATTGCTTTTGAAACCTGTTATTTTCCTGTAAAGTCAGGCCCTCTGCAAAATACCTTCAATATCCACATGTTTATTAAAAACCAATGTTAAATATCACACACACATTATTCATTTGATTCTCACACAATTACTGAAATGGGTATTGCATCATTTCCCCATATTATAGAGAAAGCTACTGAGGCTCAGAAAATTCAACTATCTTAAGGTCACACAGCTAGGAAATCAATAAAGCTTGACTTTGAACTCAGTTCTAGTTAGCTCCAACTCCAGTGTCCATTACAGCTATGTGTCTAAAGATATTGTTTTTGCAAAAGAGGACTTGCTTTCATCTTTTGTCTTGAGTATATTTTTGATGTCATGGTCACCTCAGGCCAGCACCATGTTACAAGGGGAAGGAGAAGACCTTTTGGAGCAAGAGGTCCCTTGGTACCCTATTTCCTATAAGGAACCTCCTTTTGTGTTCAGCTTGGAAAGTCAGGCCTAAGGGTAAATATTCAGATTTCAAGAACCTGTTACATACCTCTTTCATAGTGTTGAAGTGTGTTTACTGCCCCCCTCCCAAAACTCTACCCATCTTCTTTTTTTCTGGGCATATTGGCCTTCCTGATTTTTGCTTCTGTCATGTATTATTCTGGTGTCTTGGGAGGGTTGAAGGTAAGCAAGACAGTGTCACTTTTGCTGGCAGAACTGCAGCATATGATTGCTCTTAAGTTTAGCCGTGTATCTTTGAGCAGGAGGCAATGACAAACGGTTTATTCTAAGGCCTTTGATTTCTTTTGGAATTGTAAGCATTTAGGCTGACTCATCTCTCAAAAGCTTCTCTCTCTCTCTCTCTTTCTCTCTCTCTCTCTCTGTCTCTGGTGTTGTTTTGAGGTTGTTCTTACCTTATTTGAATGAGGGGAGAGGGATTGATTTTTGTTTTGATTTTTGGGAGAAAGAACCAGCTATACTCTCTGGATAACCAGATGTGGTAAGCCTCGGCAAGAAGAAATAGCTGCAACTCCAAAACAGGTACAACAATGTCTGAATTGGGACAAGGGGAGAGGGGGAGCTCTGTTAGAAAAATGAAGCCAGATTTAAGTTTTGTGTGTCAGGATGAGACCCCAGGTTTACTGGTTTTGGACCTGCAATTGTGATTGGGGGATTGCTGCAGGCTTACTCAGGGACTGAGATTAGGTTATATGCATGTGCTTTTGGTTAAAATGGTCATTTTGTGAATGCACTTTGTTGGTTGGGCTTAGGTATTCTCTTTGGGTTGAGGAGATGGTGCTTTGAAGTTGAAGGACCTTTAAAAAAAACACGATAAGGTTTTTCCTCTTAACTCAGTTCAAAATCTATAGAAAGACATCTCATCTTTTCTCATACTTCACTTTACTTATCCGGCCAGCATTTATTTCGGACATCTGTGGCTTTGACCCTTAAGAAAAGTGGGCAAAAGATAATTTTGGAAACAAAAATAAGGTCATATTTTTGTTGGATAAAACTCAGTTATGTAGGATGATTGACAAAGTCCTACCTACCTTTCCCTTGGCAAAGCAACATTACCTGATCTTTGAAATTTAAGTCCTATCCCAATAATATATATAATATTATCGTAAAAGTCCATGGGAAAGAGAAGCTCAGAAGAGAGGCCTGTGACAACTTTCCTTCTTGTTAAAAGGTTTAGTTTCCCATGTTCCAAATTATTTTCTCTGTCAGGAACCAGCACGCACACACTCACCCAAGTTGTAAACCTCAGAGCTATCTTAAATCCTTTCTTTTCAATTACAATAAAAAATTCCCCTAAGTCCTGTCAATCCTACACATAAAATCCAGCCTCTGCTCCAACTCTAGTGACACAAACTTGTGTTAGCATCTCTTGCCCCTTGGCTGATCTACCTACTTCAAACTCTCTACCCAAACCAGGCTTTTCACTACTCTATGTGATTTTTCCAAGCTGCAGCTCTGTCTCTGCCACTCCCCACTTACAACCCTGCAGTAGTCCCCTATTGCCTTCAGGAGAAATTCTAGCTCCTTAACATGGTTAACAGGGACATTCATGATCTCACCCTTGCCTATCCAGAATTATCTCCTTCCATCTCCTTTATACAGCTTTAAGAATATAACAACCTCTCTCCGTTCTCATCTCCTTGCCTTTGCACAAGCTGTTCTCTCTTTCTGGACTCTCCCCCCTCCCTGTCTCCAGGCAGACTTAGACGTTTTCTCCTTTCTGTTCTCACAGTACTTTGTTTATATCTTGGCTGATTGATTTATCACAAGGTTTTATAAATTGTTGCTAACCTGTGTATCTCTTTCACTGCACAGTTAAATCCTTTATGAAAGGACTGGTATTATCTTGCTCATATTTGAATCTTTAGTGCCTGGTACAAAATGGGCATTTAATACAGGTTTCTTTTTTATAAATAAGTGAAATAATAAAGGAATAATAGAGGTGGGGGTGTGCACAAAAGGATGCTGTGTGAGGTCCAGGGAGATCCCCACTGGGGGAATCTAAGCATCCTGGGAGTGGGCACCATGGAGAAGTGACAGGTTAGCCAGTGCACTAAGATAAACTTCACTCTAATCACAAATCCTATATAAGGAATCTCCTTATAAATGTCTTGGAAATGATGCTCATTTATTTTGGTACAAATGCGTGCCTTTTTCATAAAAAATATAATCAAGTTGCACACTTTTTGGTAAATAGAAGGCAAAATACAAACAAAATCCTACACTTAATACAGATACTGTTAGTATTTGAGTGCATTTCTCTTGGTATTATTTTCATGCATGCTTTTCTTCATATAGTTGTTATCATAATTAATACAGTTCTGTATTTTGTATTTGTGGTTTAAGAGCTCTTTGTAAACATCATTTTTGGTGATTACCAGAGGGAAAAAGAAATGTGAGGAGATAGAAGAGGGTAAAAAAAAAAAGATAAATGGTGATGGAAGGAGACTTGACTTGGGGTAGTGAATACACAATACGATATACAGATGATGTATTATAAAATTGTACACCTGACACCTATATCATTTTATTAACCAATATCACCCGAATACATTCAATAAAAAGGAAAAATAAACAAAAACATTCTTTTAATGATTGTATAAATTTCCATACTGTAACCATTCCATAATTTATAAAATTAGTCTCATTGCTGGGTTAGCCTTTTTTGCCCTTAATTTTTTACGGTTATGGCTCATTTAAATATTATTTTTTTCCTGTCTATAAGAAGATTCTATTAGGATAGATTCCTAGAAGGGAAATTATTGGGTCAAAGGGCCTGGGGATGATTTTTGGCTCAAACTCAGGTGTCCAATTTGCTTTCTGGAAGAATTGTACAGATTTACAGAGTTCCTAACTTAGATGGATATGCTATTTTCACCCAACCTGGACAGCATCGAGTATTGTCATTAAAAAATAAAAATAAACTTCATCAATGTTCTAATTAATGGAAAATATTACCTTATTCTTGTTTCAATGTGCATTTTAAAATTCTAAGGTTGGTTTTATTTTCTTTGTCCTGGTCTTTTTCTTTTCTTTCTTTTTTTTCCTTTTGCCTAATTAAGTATTCTCTTTTCTGGACTGTAGGTGCAGGGATGATTTCTTTTTAAGTTGGATTTTTTTTTCTTAATAGGCAACCAGAGGCAGCTCTGCTTAAGGGTGAAGCCGCCTCCCAGTTTTCCCTCCTCCCCTACCAGCCTCCCCCCACCCCATAGTTCCCTACACCAGGTCCAGTGACAATTGGATGATGCAGCTTTGATAATCATCCGATTCCAGAATGGGTGGCTGCATTCCTTTTCTGAAGGCAGCAAGGACACGGTGCCCCAGAATCATGCCCCTTTTGCTGTTGTTGTGTGCATTCATTTTTTTAGTGAACGTCCTGGGAGGAGCCCCAGGACACAACCCGGAGCGCAGGACGAAGATGATATCAATACACAGCCTCTCGGAGCTGGAGCGTTTGAAGCTGCAAGAGACTGCTTACCACGAACTCGTGGCCAGACATTTCCTCCCTGAATTTAAACCTGACCGAGGTGAGCAGTATCTTGGAGTGTGGCGTACTCGCTCTCTGGAGAGCGGACTCTCCGGGGCGGGATGGGGGTGAGTTGGAGGTCCAGAAGGGTAGCAGGGGCAAGAAACTGGTCTCAGACCTGGTCGATTCTCCTGGCACCCTGAAAACTGAGGAAGCGAGAGTTGAAGGGTGTTTGTTGAATTGTAAGAGAGGTAAAGATGACTCGAGTTGGGTCAAAGGCTGGGAGTTTGAGGCAGCAAGCCCAACAGGCAGATGTCAGGGACAGACAAGTTGACAGAGGACAGGTGAAGAGACAGATGCACCAGGTGCGGTTCGAGAAGGAGTCAGAGCTGAAGGGAGGCACAGAGGGACACTCTGAGAGAGGACTGGGATAGACCGAGACAGAGTAGTTGAGAGACAGAGTAAGAAAGACAGTGAGACAGTGAGAGACACACACCAATCCTAGCAGAAAGCAATGGTGGGAGGTACACTGAGATAGCAGCCCTGTTCCTCTGGCTGCAGGGGAGCGAGCGGGACCCAGCACTGGACGAGTTTGAGTGTGCCAGGGCTCTTACGGGTTTGGGCTCAGATTAGCAGTTGAAGGTAAGCGGGAGGGGGTCGCACGAGCTGAGGGGCGCTCCTGCAGTAATGAGAAGTGCAGGGGCAGTACGTTAGTCAACTGGGCACAGCGGACGCAGCCGGAAAGTAGCGAAGCAAAGGGAGAGTAGACTCCGCAGGCAGCAGCCGTTGCGGGGGTCAGAGCGTGGGGACAGCGTGAGTTGCTGCTCCTCCCGCCGCAGCGCGTAGACCAAAAGGCATCACTGGTGTGAACCAGTTTTTGGTGTCCGCAATAACTTGGCGTCTCCTACTCGCGGAGGTGCTGCAAACAGAGCTTTTCCCTTCGCCTGTTGCACTGTCCCAACGTTTGGAGTCCTGGAATTTACGTTTTAAGCATTGTGCTGAGCTACTACTGGTGCGTGGGCACACAGTGCCTAACATTGTATGGTTTGGTTAAATTCTTGTAGTCTCATACGTGGTAGATAGGATTAGTCCCATTGTTAAACGGGGAAACTGAGGCTGAGAGAAAGCAAAAACATTTCGCAGGCTAGACAGAGCCGTTTACCGCCCCGCCCCCAATTCCTGCTGATCAGTGCATTGAGATGCTTTAGTCACCTATTAAATCCTATTTGTGTGAGTGTGCATGTTTTTTCTTTTTACTTCCCATAGCTCTGCCTATTGACAGTCCAAACACCTTGGAGAAGTGGTTTCTGATTCTTAGAGGACAACAGAGGGGTGAGGAGCTCTTGTACTTTCCTTAGGAAAGAAATGGGATGCTGCACCCCTCCTGTATTGTGTCCCTGGCTACTGGAAGACTGGGTGGTGCCCACTACCCCTGGAGGCACTCACTCCCCCTCCCAGAAACCCCAAAGGGGATGATTGCAGGAAATGCTAACCGCAGGCGCACTCGAGGCGGTCCCATCAGATTTGCCTAAGCCTTCCTGCTTAGGATCCACCCCAGACTGAGCGCTCAGAAGAAACTGTCCTAGTTGCTTCAAGGTAGTCACTCCCTTGCAGGACTTAAGGCAGGGAACTTGAACTCCCTTGGGGTAGTTGTGTGAAGCCGAGTCCTTCAGCCAAACCACTGCAGGGTCTTTTTGGCTCACTCCCCAGGGAGGGGTGCTGCGGGTCTGGAGGGGTGGGGGTTGGCTGTGGGAGGTTGCTTAGAAGAGTGCTACAGCCCCTTCAGTTCCTTCTGATTTAAGCGTTGCAGAGGCTTGACGTTTTTCATTCTTTCTCTCCCAGACTCCTCGGTCGAATCACTCAAGACTTTTGGTATTCGCTTGGAAGAGGTGCTTGTGAATGAGCTTACCCGCGGCAAGCATCTTGAACTAAAAGCTGCGATGCAGATTGAAGAATCTACCGGTCAGGCTGCAGGCCGTCGTCGGGGAAACGTAGTGCAAAGGATGTTTGGCCGCATCAGGCGCTTTTTCAATCGCAGACGGGATGAGCCCTCCTTGCCCCGAGAGTTCACTCGCCGTGGACGTCGAGTGAGTTAAACCCTCCAGGGTGCAGACAGGGGACCTTTCTGAGGTGTTCAGGGATGTGGGGCGGAAGAGGCCTGTGTCCTCAGAGGGATGGGGAGCTGAACAGAACATGTTGGAGAGGGGTACTTTGCTTGCCACAGAAAGAATGTCTCCTGTTAGGAAAGTGATGCAATACTCAGGAAGGTTTCTCCACAGGGTGCAGTGTCTGTGGATAGCCTTGCTGAACTGGAGGATGGGGCCCTGCTGCTTCAGACCCTGCAACTTTCCAGAATTTCCTTTCCAATTGGCCAGAGACTACTCGGATCCAAAAGGAAAATGAGCCTCAATCCGATTGCTAAACAAATTCCCCAGGTTGTTGAGGTTTGCTGCAACTTCATTGAGAAACATGGTAAGGGGGCTGAAAATGATGCTTAAATCAAGGTAGAAGGCAATTTAATGAGAAATAATGATGTAGAAATGGGGAGAGAGAAGGGATTGCAGGATGAAGGGTTTAGAACATTTTCCTGCCTCCAGTTGGGGGATGCCTGCAGCTAGGAGGAGAAGGGAAATGCCCTTGGGGAAAAGGACCAGAGATTCTTAGCATACCTGATCTTTTCTTTCAGGCTTAAGCACAGTGGGGATTTTCACCCTGGAATATTCTGAGGAGAGAGTGCGTGAGGTAAACTGGCTTTGTTTACACTTTTGTTCTTTGAGAGAAAGCAGGTGAGGTGGGCTCTCCCCCATAATCCTGAGGGGAGTTTCCTGTAACTGGCACATGGAATTACCAGCTACCTCCACTGAAGCCAGAGACTTATTACAGTAATGACTAGGAGGGAGCCTGTGGTGGGCAAGGCAGACATTCCATGTATTCTCTCCCTTTTTATAGCTCCGTGAAGAATTTGATCAAGGTCTGGATGTAGTGTTGGATGACACTCAGAATGTGCATGATGTTGCTGCACTCCTCAAAGAGTTTTTCCGTGACATGAAGGACTCTCTGCTGCCAGATGATCTGTACATGTCCTTCCTCCTAACAGCAAGTGAGTCTTCTGCTCTCCCTTCTTCCTTGTTGGGCAAAGAAAGGAAATAGTACAGGAAGTATGGGGGTTTAGGGACAGAGCTCAGACTGCAGGACCCCAAGGAATTAAAGCAGAATAAACATCTAAAGATGAAAACATCTCTTCAGACTTCTTTCCTTGTACCTCATGATATTTCATTATAAATCTGCCATTTGGAAATTTCTCCAGAGCTTCTTGAAGCTCTGTATGTCTTCTCAGGTTCAAAAAGAACCTATTTTCTGCAGAAGGGGTTCAATTTTGATGAGAACCCTTCTTGCTTTTAGGGCTTCTGGGCTCAACTGTTACGGGAATAAGCAAAGGAAAGGCGACTGGGGATTTTCTCCATAGCCTTCAGTGATTTTCAAGCAGAATCACATTTATTCTGGTATTGGGCTGTTGCCAAGGCTAGCCTTCTGAGCTGACCCTTGTTTTCCTTCCTCTAGCTCTGAAGCCTCAGGATCAGCTCTCTGCCTTGCAATTGCTGGTTTACCTGATGCCACCTTGCCACAGTGACACCCTGGAGCGTCTGCTGAAGGCCTTGCATAAAATTACTGAGAACTGCGAGGACTCCATTGGCATTGATGGACAGTTGGTAAAAAGCTCTGGGAAAGAGTAGTGAGGGCTGTGGCTGGGGACATATGTGAGAGTATCTTAGAGAGACAGAGCCAGAGAGACAGAAGGAGAAGGGGAATAAGAATAAAATATTTTCATTTGTATAACTTCTGTTATTACCTCAGAATCAACCACTTTCTGCTTTCTTTTACCTAGGTTTCTGGCAACCGAATGACATCCACCAATTTGGCCTTGGTGTTTGGATCTGCTCTCCTGAAGAAGGGGAAATTTGCCAAGAGGGAATCCAGGAAAACAAGACTGGGGATTGACCACTATGTTGCTTCTGTCAATGTGGTCCGTGCCATGATTGATAACTGGGATATCCTCTTCCAGGTAGGTGGAAATTTTGGACACAATTATTTCATAGCTCTCTTTCCTGTTCATAAGGCAGGGAGAAGTTGTACATATATCCCTGAGGGTAACTAAAGGTACAGCAAAATCCCCTAATCTATAAATCCTTCTCACATTAGCTGGTCATGGTGCCTTCATTCTTGGGTAACTGATAGAAATGAGTATAAAATATAAAAAGTTGTATAATAATAATTATACAATTATTATTATACTATAATAAAGGCTAACATTGCTAATTTTACCCCCAGGTGCCTCCCCATATTCAGAGGCAGGTTGCTAAGCGTGTGTGGAAATCCAGTCCTGAAGCCCTTGATTTTATCAGACGCAGGAATTTGAGGAAGATCCAGTGAGTGTTCTCTCAGTTTGTTTATGCTCAACCTGAAGCAGAATCTTTTATGGGGGTTTCTAATGCCAGATTATCTTTTTTGTTAATCAGTTTAAGTATACAAACTGATTTGTTTTTTCTAATTCATTCTCATCCAGGAGTGCACGTATAAAGATGGAAGAGGATGCTTTACTTTCTGATCCGGTGGAAAGCTCCGCTGAAGCCCGTGCTGCTGTCCTTGGTCAAAGCAAGCCCTTTGATGAAGGTCAGTTCCCTGCTGGAGATCAAACCCTTGCTGAAAGTCAGGCCCTTGCTGAAGGTCAGTCCCTTGGTGAAGGTCAGGCCCTTCCTGAAGGCCAGGTCCTTGCTGAAGATGAGCCCCTTGAGGAAGATGAGTCCTCTGAGGAAGATGTGACAGTTAATGAAGAGCTGGTATTTGAATATCTCAATCAAGGAGTAGTCTTTGAGGAAGTCCAAGGTCTCGAGATCCCAAATGACCTTGATATTCAAGGTCCAATTCTTGAAGACATACCAGAGCTTGATGAAGAAGATGATAATGACAACAACAATGATGATGATGATGACACAGTGAATTTTGATGATCTTCCTCCCCTTGAGGATATTCTAGATCCTGATGATGAAATTCCAGAGCTAATTGAAATCCCAGACTTTGAAGAAATACCATATTTTGATATGGTCCCAGACCCTGAAGGAGCCCCAGATGTGCAAGAAATCCTGAACCCTGGAGAAATCCCAAACCACAATCTTGGAGAAGGACCACATTTTGAAAACTACCAAAGTCTTGACCTTGCAGAAGTTTCCTATCTTGATGCAATCCCAGACAATACAGATGCCTCAGATAATGATGAAAACTCAGATTCTGAAGAAGATCCCAATTTTGAAGAAGTTCCAGCTCTTGATGAAATCCCAAATAATGAAGCCTCAAATTCTGAAGAAATTTCAGACCATGAAGAAGTCGCAGAAGTCAATGGGATTTCAGATTCTGATGAAGACCTTGATTTTGAAGAAGTCCCAGCTCTTCATGTGATCCCAAGCCCTGAAGAAGCCCCTGGTGGTCATGAAATTCCAAATCATGAAGAATCCCCAGAGGTTAACGGACTCTCAGACTCTGAAGAAGATCCCAATCTTGAAGAGGTCCCAGCTCTTGATGGAATTCCAAATGATGAAGAAACTTCAGACACTGAAGAAATTCCAGATTATGAAGAAACTCCAGAATTTAATGGAATTGCAGGTTCTGGAGAAGCATCTGACCTTGAAGAGGTCCCAGCTCTCCATGTGGTAACGAGCCCTGAAGATATCTCTGATTTTGATGAGATTCAAGATGAGGAAGAATCCTCAGATTTGAGTGCATCTCTAAACAATGAAGAAGCCTCAGAGGCTGAAGAAATCCCAGGACATGAAGAAGCCTCTGATATCAATGGAATCCAAGACTCTGAAGAAAACCCCAATCTTGAAGATAACTCAGTTTTCAGTGTGGTTCTAGGGCTCAAGGATGCTCAAATTAACAATGAAATTTCAGATTCTGAGAAAGACCAAGCCAACATTTTTGAAGAAGATGAAGTTACCAATGTGATTCCAGAACCTGAAGATGTCTCCATTTTAAGTACAATCCCAGACCTTCAGCCAGACCCTGCTGTCAATCTTGAAGAAATTATGAATGTGGAAGCAGTACCAATGACGAATTACCTTGACTCTAGTGAAATTCGAAACACAAAGGCAATCCAGTTCCATAAAGAAGATACAGATGTTACATTTCCTGTAGATACCACTCTGCTTAAAAACAAGTCTCAGCCCGGTCAAGTAATGAACTACAAGCCCTTCCCAGAGCCATTGAAGATCGACACCTGCCTTCTCCCCTCCATGAAGTGCTGTAAGCTTCTGGCTCCAGGTTTATTACTCATTTGCTTAGTAAAATTAGTTAGTCTGCTTGTAGGGTGGTGGTGGTTGTTAGGAGGCTGCATACTTCCCTGCCTCCCCAGAGGTATTATTTATTTGCTCTACGCATGGGGTATCTAATGCTTTTTGTTCTCTAACCAAACCCTCCTCCCCCAACTCCCTGCTTCCACCATGAGCCTAGATTTAGAGAAATATATTCTACTCTTAGGCTGCAATTTTCTTACAAGTCTAATGGGGATAACCATTCCTGCCTTAACTTCTTGCCTCAAACTGTATTTAAAGCTCAAAATTAGGTCTTAGTCCCTTGGGTGCTGTGCAAAGTAAGAAGTTAACATTATTACTATTTTCCAGGTTCCTCTGAGGAGCCAGCTGTGCCTCCCGGCACTGCCTGTTCCCATGACGATGAGGAAGGAGCGGGTAATCCCCCCATTCTGGAGCAAGACCACCCATTGCTCCGTGTGCCCCGGGACAAGGAGGCCAATACTGGCATCGGCTACTTCTTTCCTTAGATGTTTTTTCTTTCTATAAGGCACCAGACAGGGGAAAAGGGTGGGGTAGATCTGGGATGTCACAGGAAACATTAAAGAGTATGTCTAGAAGGTAAAGATCTGAGGGTGAGAAGGACTTCCACCTGATGCTCGGGTCAGGCTGAGAAGTCCAAATACACTGCCAGCCCCTTCACTGGGCTTGCATGGTCCCTTCAGCTGGTAAAAGCAGAGATGTTTCTGTGTCAGTCCCAGGCTCCCTGGTGCTACCTTGCCTTTCTCTTTTACCCCTGATCCTGGCTTTGCCACATTACAGCCCTTCCTTTAATTGATGTGACATTTGTGGTAAACATCTGTCCCAGAGAAGCTCACAAATCTTGAGGTGCTTTCCCTCCCCCAAAAGGGGATTGCATGTTTTTCCTGACTCTCCTACCCTCCTCCCGAGAGCTCAATTGGAAAGGCCCTCAAGAGGCATGCTAGGATGTTAGGTCAGCCTACCGGCAGCTGACAATTAATGCTAAACCATGTCACACCAACTCATAGCCGTGTCCCCGCAGTAACTCCACCACCTCAGGATAGTTCATTTCCCCATATTATTTAGACCAGTGGTTTGTCAAACAGCCACTCCCAAAATTGTGTGGTTTTGCTCAGGTAGAGCCAACAGGGCAATCTTAAATGTAAGCCTAACTAGCTTTTCTTTGGTTAAAAGTTTGAGGAAAAATTTGATTTTATTACCTGGATTTGCTTTACAGACAGCTTGCATTCACACCCACTTGTCAGCAAAAACAGCTAGTTAGGTATGGACACATAGTTCCAAGTAGTAAAAGTCACCTGATTACAAATGTTCTTATTTATCGTCTCTGTAGTTCCCCTATGCAGGACGGTACAAATTTGCCGGACATGCTCTAGTAACACACAGATATGGGTTATGTATGACATCCAAAACTATAGCTGATACTGAGGGGTAACAACTGCTAAGGTCCATAGAATGAAGAATGTATTGTATTGAGGGATAGAAATTGATCATATATTGGGTAACAACCACAGAGCTCGAAGATTTGTGATTGTTAAAACTTCTCTGGCATTTAATCATTAATAAACATCTGTATTGTGACAGCAGTGTATTCATGGCTACTGTTTTTTTTTTTTAATTTAAAATTTTGTTGGCGAGTTGGGAAGCTCTGGCTGGAACTGAAGAGGAAAGAGAGGTAGGGAAGAGCAATAAAGGAGGTTGATGTGGAATAAGGGGGAAGGATGACATAGTACTAAGGGACAGAGTGAGTAGAAGAAAAGAGGAGAAGATGCTGTGGAATAAGAGGATAGAAAGATGTGGAATAAAGGGGAGTGATGTGGATAAAGAGGAGGGGGTGACATGGAATAAAGTAAAGTGGTGATATAGGATAAAGTGGAAGGGTTGAAGTAGAATAAAGAGGAGGGCATGATGTGGACTAAAAGGGATAGGGTGATTTAGAATAAAGGGGAGGGGTGATGTGGAATAAAAGGAAGGCATTATGTAGAATGAAGGTGGTAAAATGGAAGAAGGGAGAAGAGATGTAGTTGAATAAAGAGAATGGAAGTGTTAGAGTAGAAATAAATGGTTATGTGGGAATGAAAGAGAAGTAGGGGAAAAGGATGAAGCTTACAAAGAAGGCCTCTAAAGGGAAAGAGAGAAATAAAAAAGAAAGATCACTATGTATCCTCAACTGAGAAATTCCCCTGGTTTGGTGAAAAATAAAAACCTACAAACATCTGGTAACATGAATTCCAAGAGTAAGAGAAAAATATGCTGCTGTTTGATGGGACTTCCAACTTTTCTTGAAAGATTGAGACTTCATGACATGCTTTGAAATTTCCCATGTTAAGGACAGGGCTCCAGAAAGTAGAATAGTGTGTAATATTTATTTTTACACACTTTTCTTTAGGATATTTCCTTGTTCATAGATCTTTAGACAGTGGAAATGTAGCTTAATAATTATAATGATAGTTAACACATATTGAGTTTTAAAAAAACATCTGATACTGCTGCCCTGGCTGGTGTGGCTCAGTGGATTGAGTGCCAGCTGGTGAACCAAAGGGTCTCTGGTTCGATTCCCAGTCAGGGCAAATTCCTGTGTTCCAGGCCAGTTCCCTAATAAGGGTTCATGAGAGGCAAAAGACTTGAGACTCCAAATAATGTCCTTATCTTAGGTGACTTCAACAATATACACATGAAAGATCCATTCAACACATATTGGCCTCATCTCCCTGCCCTTTAACTTCTTAGCACTTCAGTCATTTGGCATCACTGACAATGAATTCACTTTTAAAAGATTTAACCCCAATATCCCATTGTCACTCAAATCTCCTACCAATGGCTGGGTCCCATGTCATATGCTATTTGATTTCATTGAGGTTCCAGTGCCTCCAATCTTTCCCTTTTCTCTTCATTTCTTTCTTTATCCAGCCAGGATCTCAGGGCAATTTGATTTAGAACATACTGATCCTTATCCCCATGATCTCCAAATACACCATCTGTACTATTTAATCTCCATTTTGGGTCCCTCCAAACAACTGATTTCTCCAATTTCATACTGGCCACTGTGAGAGAAAGTGGTAGCACTCCAGATAATGGTGCATCTAATATAATTTCCAACTTCAGCTGGGTCCTCAGGCCAATCAGTAATCATTTTACATGTCCCTAGTCACCTCCTTTTCTAACTCTCCTCCAATTTATATTACATTTCTAAATCATTCCTCTCAAATAACAGCCCATTTCACATGAAAGGGCAAATATCCTCTCCCATTCAGTAAGTATGGAAGCAACCTAGGTGTCCATCAACAAAGGAATGTATGAATCAGGTGTGGTATATGTGTATACAATGGAATATTATCCAGCAATGAAAAAGAATAAAGTCTTGCCATTTGTGACAACCTGAATGGATCTTGAGGGCATTATGTTAAGTGAAATAAGTCAGAAGGAAAAGACCAATACCATATTCTTTCACTTGTATGTGGAATCTAAGAAAACCACAAACAAATGAACAAACAAAACAAAAACAAACTCATAGATACAAAGAACAACCTGATGATTGCCAGAGATGAAAGGAGTGATGGGACAGGTGAAAATGTGAAGGGGAATAAGAGGTTAAAACTTCCAGGTATAGCCCTGGTTGGTGTGGCTCAGTGGATTGAGTGCTGGCCTGAGAACTAAAGGGTCACTGGCTTGATTCCCAATCAGGGCACATGCCTGCATTGCAGGCCAGGTCCCCAATAGAGGGCGTGGGAGAGGCAGCCACACATTAATGTTTTTCTTTCTTTCTCCCTGTTCCTCTCTCTCTAAAAATAAATAAATAAAATCTTAAAATAAGAATAGCACACTTCCTTTCTTTAAATTTCTTTAAAAAAACTTCCAGTTATAAATAAGACAAGGGGATGTAGTATACAGTCAAGGGAATATAGTCAATTCTATAGTAATAACTTTGCACAGTGACAGATGGTTGCAAGACTATTGTGCAATCACATAATATGGTATATAAATGTCAAATCACTATTTTGTATACCTGAAACTAATATAACATTGTATGTCAACTACAGTTGAATAAAAAATAATAAAAATTATATGATCATCTCAATAGATGCAGAAAAACATTTGACAAAATTCAACACCCCTTCAATATAAAAACCATCAATAAAATGGGTGTAGAAAGAACATACCTCAAAAATTACAGGCCATATATGAAAAATGTAAAGCTAATTTTGTACTAAATAATGAAAGATTGAAAACTTTTCCTCTGGGAGACCCAAGATGGTGGAGGAGTAAGTGGAAGCTACACCAACCTCCTCCCAGGACCAATCTGGAAGTACAACAAAATTGTAGAGAAATTATCTTGAATAACCAACTAAACACTAGCTGGAGAGAAGCCTTATACCCACAGACAGACAGAAGAAACCACTTCACTATAACGTGACTGGTAAGGAGTGCTGAGGAAGCATGAGAGGGCTGGCTCGGCTCTCATGAGAGGCAGCTGAAGTGCCAGAGGGATATTTCAGCAGCTGGCGTGGCTCCACTGTGAAGTGTGGGAAGCTGGGCTCCCCAGCCTATAGCACCAGAGCCTGAAAAGTACCCAGATAATATCCAGCTGCAAAAAGCAACAGGGTTTCTGTCTGCCACGTAGAAACAGCTGGAGACACAGAGAGCCTCTTAAAGGGCCAATGCACAAAATCCCATTTGCAGCTACTTAGCCTAGACTCTGGCTGAAGGAAGGCAGAGTGGACTAGAGACATGTGAGGAGAGTCTGAGGCTGGTGGCTCTGGGGAGAGAACTGAAGGAACAGCCACCAGGATCCCTGTGCTGAGTCGTTCCCCATACTGCAGAGGAAAAGCACTCCTCTCCAAGTAGCATTAGTCTGAGGAGAAGAAATGCCCCCCCCTCCCCCCGCCCCGCACAGGAATTACTCTGCCCTACCCTCTGGAGCTTATTAAGCCTGGCTCCACTGAGCACAGCTTGAGGCTATACCACTGGTTAACAACTAAGGCAGATCTTTGGGAGCTCTGTAACCATAGATACCCCTCCCCCAGTCCTGGTGCTGGTAAAAGCTGGCTTTGGTGTGCAGCTTGGATCTTTCTGCACACACCCAGGCCCAGCACAGGGATCCAAACACTATGGATCCCCGATAGCTCCAAACAGGTTGACTAGGTCCAGACACAAGTAGTGCTGTCTGACAAAGGCCTATACCAGAGTCTTTGAAGATCTACCTAACCCACAAAAACAAACAGAGACAGACAGACAGCCAAAATGGGAAGACAAAGAAACAGGTCCCAAATGAAAGAACAAGGGAATTCACCAGGAAAAGAGCCAGATAAAATAGTGGCAAGAAATTTATTAGGCAGTTTAGAGTAATGATTTCTCAAAAGCATGAAAAATACTTAGAAACCATGAAAAAGGACCAGTCAGAAATAAATAATGTAAAATCTGAAATAAATAATATACTGGAAGGAATAAACAGTAGGTTAGATGAAATAGAGGACTGAATCATGATTTGGAA